ATTCTACACTATCATGCTCATATTTATAAAACTCAGTGCCTCTGTGAAAGGTAAGGATGACTACTGCGGTTGTCGGCATCTTCATATCCGGTCACATGGGTGGCAAGCCCCTCCCACAAAGGAGGCCACACCCACAGAGTAGGTTCAAACAATTTTTGAAACCCACCACTGCTTAGCACCCTCAAAGCATCAGATTTCCAAGACAAAGCTCTAGATCAGGAGTCCCAAACTTGGCAACTTTAAGACTTGTGGACTTCAACTCCCAGAATTCTATGCTGGCTGGAGAATTTTGGGAGTTGAAGTCCACAAGTCTTAAAGTTGCCAAGTTTGAAGACCTCTGCTCTAAATCGATGTCTCCATCAGCTAACCAGGGTGATACAGTCCAGATTTTGGGGAGCCCTCAGCAGCTTCCAAGGCTTTAGTGCAGAAAAAACAATTGCTACCAACCTGCCTTCCATGGAGCACCTGAAGACTGCACGAGCCAAAAAGAGGGCTGTGAAAATATCTACAGACCCCTCGCATCCTGGACATAAATTGTTTCAACTCTTATCCTCAAAATGACGCCGCAGGGCACTGTACACCAAGACAACTAGACACAACAACAGTTTTTCCCCAAATGCCATCACTCTGCTAAACAACTAATTCCCACAACACTGTCAAACTATTTACTAAGACTGTATTACTATTATTTATGACTATAATCTTGTTGCTTGTATCTTTTATGATTTATATTGTTTTATTTAGTTTCCTAGTATGATTTGATTGCTTATTTAGTATCCTATGACTATCAACAAGTGTTGTATCTTATGATTCTTGATAAATGTATTTTTAATGTACCTTGAGAGGTTATGCACCGAAGATGAATTCCTTGTGTGTCCAATACACTTGGCTAATAAAGAATTGTATTCTAATTCTATTCTCATTTCATTCTCTGTTCTATCCTATCCTATCCCATTCCATATGCTATTCTATTCTATTCCTATTCCATTTCTACACTACGCTTCTCTACTCTATTCTCCAACACATCATCCATACCCAGAAGGTATAGATGATCCTTGGAGAAGGCCGAGGCAGCCTGCAGGCTGAGACCCCCCTTGCCGGGCACCTCAGAGGCAGATTCGAACACATACCTGCAAGGAAGAACCGGCCACGAGGATCGCATCGGACTCCTCAAGGCGCTGGTACACAAAGTCCACTTTCTCCTTGCACACGTTGTCCCCAAAGAAAACCACATCTGGCTTGAGGACCCCACCACATTTGCTGCATGATGGGACATGGAAATGGCGGACCTGCTCTTCTGGCAGAAAGACATCTCCATCAGGAGCCACACCATGAGACTCAGCAGTCCACGTGGGGTTCAAGGCCTCAAAATGTTCCTGGAGATGCTCGCGGGAGACCTGGGCCCCACAGCTGAGGCACACGACCCTGTGGAGAAAGAGGCTTTCAGGACCCACTGGAGAGATGGATTTCTAAGCTCGGGGAGAAGGAAGGGACTATCCCACGATTCCTAGTTAAATCCCATCCCACCTCCATTAGAGAATAAGAAAATAAAATAAGAAAATAGAAAAGTAGTTGAGGTCAATGCTTCAGGTTTGAGATTAGATTAACAGAGTTGGAAGGGACCTTGGAGGTCATCAAGTCCAACCCCCCAGCCAAGCAGGAGACCCTACCCCAATTCTGACAGATGACAATCTAGTCTCTTCTTGAAAGCTTCCAGGGATGAAGCTCCTACAACTTCTGAAGGCAACCTCTGTTCCATTGGTTGGATGTTCTCATTGTCAGAAAATTTCTCCTTTCTAGTTCACTTTCCATTCATTATTCCTTGTCTGGCCTTCAGGTGCTTTGGAGAATAGCATGAGTCCCTCCTCTCTGTGGCAGCCCCTCAAATATTGAAACACTGGTATCATGTCTCCCCTGGTCCTTTTCTTCAGTAGACTAGCCATGTCCGGTTCATGCAACCATTCATCATATGTTTGAGCCTCCAGTCCCCTCATCACCCTGGTTGCTCTTCTCTGCTCTCTTTCTAGAGACTTAACCATTTTTTATAGTGTGGTAACCAAAACTGGATGCGGTACTCTAGGTGTGACCTTACTAAGGCTTTATAGAGTGGTATTAAGACCTCCCTCGATCTTGATTGTATCCCTCTGCTAATGCAATTTAGGATTGCATTGGCTTTTTTGACTGCTGCTGCACACTGCTGGCTCCTATTTAGCTGGTCCACTAATTTAGCTGGTCCACTAAGAGTCAAAGATCCCTCTCACAGTGTCTGCTATTAAGCCTGGTTTCACCAAGTCTATATTTGTACTTTTGGTTTTTCTTGCCTAAATGTAAGACTTTATTTTTGTCTGAGAGATTTGGCCCAGACAAAAGGATATTATTCTTGTTTTCCCCTGCTGTGAACACTTCCTGGGAATAACATGCCAGGGGGAGGTGGGTGGTGTCAGCATTGTCTGGCTCCCCCAGGCAGCAAAAGGGTTAAGGCTCTCCCAGGGAGGGACACGATCAGACACCCCCAGCCCTCTGGCATCTGCACAGAAGGCACCTTTTGCAGGAGCACCAAAAGGTTGCCTGCTGCCTTGCTACCGGATTCTGTTCAACTTGGTTGTTGTTGTTAGTTGTAAAGTTGTGTCCGACCCATCGCAACCCCATGGACAACGTTCCTCCAGGCCTTCCTGTCCTCTCCCATCCTCTGGAGTCCATTAAAGCTCACACCAACTGCTTCAGTGACTCCATCCAGCCACCTCCTTCTCTGTCGTCTCCTTCTTCTTCTTTTGCCCTCCATCGTTCCCAGCATGAGGCTTTTCTCCAATGAGTCCTTCCTTCTCATTAGGTGGCCAAAGTATTTGAGTTTCCTCTTCAGGATCTGGTCTTCTGAAGAGCAGTCAGGATTTAACTCCTCTAGGACTGGCAGGTTGGATGGCCTTGCAGTCCAAGGGACTCACAGGAGTCTTTTCCAGCACCAGAGTTCAAAGGCTTCCATTCTTTCGTGCTCAGCCTTCCTTATGGTATTTCTTATGGTATTATTTCAACTTGGTAGTCTAGCTGAAATTTCTCAGATTTACTCCTGGTCTCCCTCTAACTCACAATCTAACCCTCACTTAGTTTTCAAGCCCAGAGAAGGTCAGCCGGAAACTGTTATCTATTGAGTGAATATGAAGGAACGGGGTAGATGTCACACATAAACCTCAAAATAAAAAAGCTTTATGATTGATGATGGTTCCCACAACACCTTAGGTCTGGAG